TCACAAGACTCCACAGCTTACAGGGAGCATTGGCCCTATCTGATGGTAAAGTTGCACAGGCTCGCTTAGCTGTTCTAGTTCTCTACAGAGTTGCCATTGCCTTTAGGCTCCCTTCAGATGTCCAGGCCAACCACACAGCCAACGGCCGCCTGCTTGCGGACCACAGCTCAGAGTTCTCCTCCCTGAAGCATCCCGGGGAAAGAGAGCTACTTCCTGTTGCATGGAGATTTTATCATCTCTGTCTCTCCTCCCAGTTGACCAGGTTAGGCCAGGTCAGAGAAGTGTTTCCTCCAGCCCCTTCCTGGAGATTTATCCCTGGAGTTGTTTTAGACCCTAGTCCTCTAAACTCTGTTCCCTGCCTGGGGGGGGGGAAAGAAGGGGAAGGCTTGGCCACCCCATTGTCTTTCCATTTGTATAAAGGTGAGTCTGGAAAGCCATTGAGGGACTTCCTCCTTCCCAGAGAAAAGAAGACAAAACCGCAACCCTAGAGTCGGATTCGACTGGCTTTCGAGCAAGGGAACCTTTACCTTTAACCTCCCAGGAGAAAATGCATTTCTTCATACACCCTATACACAAACCATCCTCTTCCCCAATACGGAGGAGGTGCAAGAGGTATTTCTCATGCAGCAGTTATGTGCCATATCCCCCCTCCTCCGCCTCCCAGCTTCAGATGAAAACAGCCTAACATTCTCTTCCGTAATGATTGCAGAGGTGCAATATGCCTATTGCCCAAAGGGTAAATATACAGAGCTAATCACAAGTTAAATCCTGTAAATTCCACTTCCCAACTTTGGACTGCGGAGCACGTGCATGAGCTATTAGTATAGCCTCCCCGATTGCAGGACTTTTGCATTGCCCAATCCAGGCACCCACACCCACCATACGGTGATGGTAAATGCCAAGCAAAGTAGTTGTGGCTTCCACCCTTGGCTCAGTCAAAGGAGGCAGTCTTAGGATGCATTAACAGAAGCATTGTCTCCCGATCACGGGAGGTGGTAGTTCCGCTCTATTCTGCTATGGTCAGGCCTCACCTGGAGTACTGTGTCCAGTTTTGGGCACCACATTTTAGGAAGGATGTTGACAAGCTCGAGCGTGTCCAGAAGAGGGCAACCAGGATGGTGAGAGGGTTGGAATCCAAGTCTTATGAGGAAAGGCTTAAAAAGTTGGGTATGTGTAGCCTGGGAAAGAGAAGCCTTAGAGGGGACATGATTGTTGTCTTCAAATATTTGAAGGGCTGTCATGTAAAAGATGGAGCAGATCTATTCTCTCTTGCTCCGGAATGCAAGATTAGATCTAATGGGTGGAAATTACAAGGGAGTCGATACTGGCTAAATATCAGGAGGAACTTCCTAACTGTAAGAGTGGTTGAGCAGTGGAACAGTCTGCCTCGGGAGGTGGTGGAGGCTCCTTCGCTTTTCGAGCGGGGGCTGGACGACCATCTTTCGGGTATGTTGTAGGGCTCTCTTTCGGCTATGCTCCTGCAGAGTACAGGGGGTTGGACTAGATGACCTGCAAGGTCCCTTCCAATGCTAACATTCTATGATTTTACGATTCTAGGAACTTTCATGGAAGTGTTTGCATCCCTGCCACGCACACGCCATCAAAAAAGAGACAGGACCCTCTTAAATTCACATAACAGGCTTCAGTTATAACAGCAATACAATTCGCATATGTGTGCGTATGTTTTGTTAACTGTCTTATATGCAGAGTCTCAGGGTCAATATGGTATGTAGGGGCCCAGCCTACCTTCCCTTGCAACTGCAAAGTTGTGGAGGTTGGGAACACAAGCCACAAGAAAGCTCACTATATATGAAAATACATACATGGACACATGAAACTCCCTTATACTGAATCAGACCACTTGTCTATCACAGTCAGTCTTGACTACTCAGACTGGCAGTGGTTCTCCAGGGTCCCAGGCGGAGGTCTTTTGCATCACCTGGTCTTTTCAGGTGGAGACGTCAGGGATTGAACCCGAGACCTTCTGCATTCTAAGCAGATGCTCTACCACTGAGCCACAGCCCCTCCCATAATACATGGCTACGGATGAACAGTTTGGAAGGTAAAGAAGTAGCCTCCCTGATGATGGACAGAAGTTAAAAAATGCAAAACCTCAAGGTATGGAGAAATGTTCTTCTTCTCTTCCACTCCCCAGGTGCTGACAAGAACAGCAAAGCAAAGGCTGCCCAAGTGTATGATTCTGTGGGGTTTGTGGGCAGTGGGGCTCAACTTGGAAATACCACCCCAAACACACAGATCACAGAATCAAAGGGGTGCAGAAAGAAATTGCATACTGAAGCTGCCTCGGGATGTGGTGAGCTCCCCCCTCACCGGCTGTCTTTAAGCAGCGGCTGGACAAACACTTGCCAGGGGTGCTCTAGGTCAGTGGTGGCGAACCTATGGCACGGGTGCCAGAGGTGGCACTCAGAGCCCTCTCTGTGGGCACGCATGCCATCGCCCCAGCCAGGCCACCACCTCCTATATAGGAGATGGTGGCCAGGCCCAGCCCATCATTAAAGTGTCGAATTCTCTGCCAAATAATTTTAAGTAAATGAAAGCATTTGGGATAGCTTTCCTTCCTTTGTTTGGACCATCTTAAGTTAATGTATGAGTTTTGTTTTCTAAAGTAAAAACTCAGTATTCAGGCTAAATTGCCATGTTGGTACTTTGCAATAAATAAGTGGGTTTTGGGTCACAGTTTGGGCACTCGGTCTCTAAAAGGTTCGCCATCACTGCTGTAGGCTGATCCTGCATTGAGCAGGGGGTTGGACTAGATGGCCTGTCTGGCCCTTTCCAGCTCTGCGATTCTATGCTTCTATGTGAAGTTATGGGGGTGCAGGACCCTACAATGCAAGACCCTGGGTATAGGAGAAGACAAAACCAGATCCCTGAAGTGCCCCCCCCCAACACTTCAGAACAACAACAAGAAGAGATTGGATTTATACCCCACCCTTCACTTGGGAGTCTCAGAGCGGCTGACAAACTCCTTTCCCTCCCCCTCCCCACAACAGACACCCTGGGAGGGAGGCGGGGCCGAGAGAGCTCTGACACAAACTGCTCTTTCAGGAACAGCTGTGCCAGAGCTTGTGACCAGTGTTCCCTCTAAGCTGAGTTAGTGTGAGCTAGCTCACAGTTTTTTAGCTTCCAGCTCACAGATTTTTGTCTTAGTTCAGGAAGGATGGCTCCAGAGCAAACTAATTTATACAGCAGCCAAAACGCTCGCTCACAACTTTAATGCCAGGAGCTCACAAAGTAGAATTTTTGCTCACAAGACTCCACAGCTTAGAGGGAACACTGTGACTGACCCAAGGTCACATCAGCAGGTGCAAGTGGAGGAGTGGCGAATCAAACCCGGTTCTCCCAGATTAGAATCCGCACACTTAACCACTACACCAAGGAGGAAGAGGTTCCACTACCCTGTGATGGGGCAGACATATATGGCCAATACCACGCATAACCTCAGGGTATGGAAAATGCACCTCCATTTCATAATCTGCGGGCAATACTGCTCCAATTCTGCCAATCTCATAAAATTCTGAATGAGAGAAGGCAGACCAACCCCTCAAAAATGCTGGACAGGACATGGAAGGTCAGCCCCACATAAAACCCAACAATGGAAAAACAAAAATGGCACCCATGTCGTAAGACGAAGTGTGACCCATTTAAGTTTCCCCTACCTGCACCAGCTCGGGGTAGGATGATCTGCCCTACAAAAGCTAAGCTAAAAAAGCTAAGATTTCTGGGCAAGAGCAATGTGACCAAATACAGCATACCCCCACATTTAGGAGTGCGGAAAGGTACCACCGGCCAAGTCAACAACGGAGGCCCACAACCAAAACCATGCAAATCTCAACAGTGCAGCCAAACCAACCTTCCTTCCGTCTAACACACGATTAGAGATGCAGCCCCAACGGTAACGCATTCTTTTGGTGGATGCAAAAAAGATTCCACCCCACCCAAAGGAACTGCAAGCATATACCACCAACCAGTGTTCCCTCTAAGATGAGTTGGTGTGAGCTAGCTCATAGGTTTTTAGCCTCCAGCTCACAGATTTTTGTCTTGACTCAGGAAGGACAGCTCCAGAGCAAACTAATTTATTCAGTAGCCAAATCACTTGCTCACAACTTTAATGCCAGTAGCTCACAAAGTAGAATTTTTGCTCACAAGACTCCACAGCTTAGAGGGAACATTGCTACCAACCCCCACCGAAAGTCATCGCCAATTACTAGAGGCAGGTGGGAGATCCCCCCAAATGCAGCATCTTTTAATTCCGCTAATCTCGAGTCATGTAGGAGAACCCCTCTCCTCAACAACAACGACACACACACCGGCACAAACCCATGCAACACCTGAGGAAGCAAGAACAAAAAGAACCACCATCCTAAAAAATGCAACCCGCTCCATGTCCCCTCCTACACAAAATACAGATGGAAGGTCACCAAATAGTGTGTCTGTGTGGCACTGCTCTGGGGGGCCCTGGGTGCAAGAGGGCACCTCCCCACCAGTGTTCCCCCTAAAATCAGTTAGTGTGAGCCAGCTCACAATCTCTAAACCTCCAGCTCACAGATTTTTGTCTCCGCTCAGGAAAGGGCGGCTCCAAGAGCAAAACCAATGGATGCAGCGGCCCGATCCCTCGGTCACGACTTTAACGCCGGGGGCTCACCAAGTAGAATCCTTGCTCACGAGACTCCGCGGCTTAGAGGGAGCGTTGCCACCCCCAGAACCTTTGCAAAGCCTGCAGGACCAACCGCGTGCAAGACCTCACGGTGCAGGACCACACTCTCTCCCCTTACAACATCGGTGGGCAATTGCAGCTGCAAGGTTTGGGGGGGGGGCGCGGCCGGAGGGACCCCCCCCCCCCCCCCTATGCCCTCGCATGCACCCGCTCCCCAGCTCCTCCCATGCAGAGCCTCGCCGGGTGCAATCAAAGGGGGTTCGGGGGGGAGGGGCGCCGTTGCCCAGCGACGGGCTCCCCCTCGCCCCCCGCGTCTCTCACCCACCCGGGCCGGCCAATGCGGGTATCCCTTCATCTTGGCGAAGACGAGGTCCCCGGCTTTGAAGCCGTGCGGCATCTCTGCGTCGGCGGCAGCGGGCGAGCGGCGAGCAGGCCCCAGCCAGGCCTCAGGCTTCGCCAGGCAACGGCGGAGGGGGCGTGGCCGCCGGGCAGAGGAGAGGCCCGGAGGGGGGGGGGAGCCTGGAGGCGGACGATTC